AAAAAAAAAAAAAAGATTTTATACAAAAAAATACAAACATTAAAGAATTGCACAAATCTCAAAAACTGTGTTGTTTTTATCTCTCTTTTTTTTTATGCCTAAACAGTTCACCTAATTTCTTTTTATTAAACGGTTGAGCATCTGCTGTATTTTTATCTAATTTTTTTTACTTTAATTTATTAAATTTTTGATTTTTTTACCCCAACAATTCTACCATTTTGTTGCTGTTTTTGGCATTGCTATATGCGTTTGTTCTAATTCATAAACTTTAGTTTTTTGTCTCAGAAATTTTTTGTCTCATCTATTGAGAACGGTCTCTGACTGCAATTGCATACCGCGCTTTCTACCGGTTAATGAGGCAGCAATTATTGAATTCACTACCATAGCTATTTTTCTTCAACGAATATAAGTGTTTTTTTTTCTTTCTATATTTTAATTATTGACCTCAATTTTTTACTTGTCAAAGTACTTTTTTTTTTTTAAACTTTTGCTGTATCTTAATAATTTGGTTACTTTTTTTTTCTTCTTATTATTCATTTTATATTTTACTGCTACTAATAAGCATTCTGTTTAATGCTGCTTTATTTTTGCTTCATCTGTGACTTTTTAGCAATGGTTCGTTCCAATTTAGAAACACAGATTTTTATTGGTGCTTTTTGTTTTCAGTTTAAAAAAAAAATAATTTAATGTTGTTTTTTCCTTTCATTTCATATAGCTCTACTGTTTTGTTATTGAAATCAAAAATTAATGCTTAATGATCAAGAGAGATGAAGAACAAAAGGAAAGCATACGTATATAATCATGAAGAAGCTGTTGATGCATAGACCAGTTTGAGATTACTACCGCTACATCTGAATTAAATGTGATTGTATTTTCTGTTTTTGTTGCTTGATTATTAGTCTTTGTTGATGCCGCATTTGAAGTTAGCTCATCCTTGTCAAACTTTCCTAACTATAATAAAAATTTTTTTGAAAAGAAATGAAAAATGGAAAAGTACAACAGACTCAAAAGTGCAAAAAAGTAAATGCCAGTTAAACAAAATAAATTTTTTCCAGATTTAATTTTTACTTTTTTTTCTTAATTCTGAGATTGTTTTAAAGATTTTATTCTGCATAGTTGCCGCCAACTTTGCAATTAGTGCTGCAACCGCTTAGGCCACATCGTTGTCGAAAACCTCGGTCGCAGTGGTGGTGTTTATACAGTTACCTGAGTAACGGTTACATGAACAAATCTGATATTTCCTCATACTCTTCTTGGATAATCTCTTAAGCTGCATAAAGTTAAATAGTTAAAAAGAAAAAAAATTATCTAATTTTTTATTTCGTATAATATCTGAAACTGATAAATCTAAAAATATTTTAAGCACAAAAAAGTTTTAATCAAGCTTAACTATGGAAACAAAAAATTTAATTATTAAATACTCTTTTTCCTGTTGAATAAGGTCTTTTAATCGTTGAAAACAAAAAGTTTTTTGATTAGTACGTCTGTTTCTGCTTCTACTTCTGCCTCATCTTTCTATTCTTTTCTTCTACACTGTAACCATCTTAGATCAAAACTCTTTGACGTTTTGTGACATTTTTTTTACTGTTGAACTTACTTTTTTTGTTGTTAAAATAAATTTTTTTTTAAATAGAATTACGGATTTTCAATGAAAGATTACTAAAAACAGCAACATTCCAAGATTGCTACGTTAAAGTATCGTAAATTTTTCAGCAAAAAATTTCTATAATTTTTCATTATACCAGCTGCGGTTTCCAGAGAAGATATATCAATATATAAGAAAAAACGTACTTTTATAACCTTAGAAATGGTTCAAAATTACGCCAGTGATTATGTCGCTCTTGCAAAAAGTCATCTAAATCGTTGTAATTTTACACTGAAAAGGAATACTGAGAAGTTATAAAATAGAAGAAAGGATAACAAGACATTGAGTTTAATTAAGTCTTACAATCATCGGCCATCCAAAGATGACGATGTCAAGTGATACTAGTAAATTCTTCTAGCCAGCGTTTGACGTCCTGCCGTAATCGTCAGAATCGGGTCTGGTTTCCACTATTAAGTCGGCTCTCTCTAATTTTTTCTTTTTCTTCTTACTCTTAGTTGATTCACGCTTTCGCTCTTTATGTTCTAGTCTTTGCTCTTAGACGACTGCTTCCACAGGCAGATTATTGAGTGCACATAAGATAAGTGTACTTTGATGAACAACATAGTCTCTAAATAGCGGTACATAATACCGCTTACTTTTTTTTTCGACTTCCTTCCCACACTTCTTCCTCATTTTAGTTGCAAAACTTGAGTATCTTTTTTTGTTCATCAGCTTACCTGTTACAGCTAGCAAGAGAATACAAAAATGAATCTGTATTTGGAAAAACAGTTGTATAAAATCATCGTCTGACGCTTCACCTTTTCTTTTCTAATTTGGTAAGGTAAGGAACAAAAAGAAAAATGCTGAAAAAGCGAAAATGTAAAAGATGACCAGGAATTTACTAAAATGTTAAAGCTTCCATTTAACACTTTTCCTTCCAATTCGCATTCTTCTAAACAGATTTCAAGCTGTAAACCATTGCCATTCGCCTGTTTCCTGCTTCCAGCTCTCGCGTTTGCTACTCTGTTATAATCACTGCTTCATCTGCAACAACACAGAAAGACTGACAATAACATCATTCTTACCTTCTCCTTCTTCTCTGCCATCGTCTTTAACAACGACATCACCATCGGTAACAAAAAACACATTTCTACGTTCTTCTCGTTTAAAAATTCTTTTAGCTGGAAGCATTAATTAGAGAGAAAAAAAACAGAAAAAGCATAAGGTACTGTATTCTATGCTTTTTAGTAATTCATCTGTCAACGTTAATATTAATATTAATATTAATTTCAATTTTAATATTAATATTAACATTATTATTAATTTTTATATTGATATTAATGCTAGTGCCAATGTTAAAACGAATACTAGCACCAATATTAATGTTAATATCAACGGTAATAACGACTTAATCATTATCGGTTTTATCCCTATCATTACTAATTATATTGCTATTGTCAA